TTTGTAAGGTTACTCCTAATGGAAGTGTGGTTCCTTAAAACTTAGTTAATAATTTCAAATATTAGTTCTGGACCTATATTATTCACATGTAATCTTATGATATTTGAATTTCCTATTCTCTAGATATATCTTTAACTCATTTTCTTTCATCAAACTTGAAATTATTTTATCGCCATCATAATAACCATCGGATTGGTGGCCAATCCCCCGTAGCGGGGACGAGCCAAAACATAGGCACAACCGAGCAAGCAAGTCTCGTGCATCACGCACCCATCGCCATTTTGCTGTTCTGAAGAGGCTCGTTCGTCCCGCAATCCGTTTCCTCAAAATACAACGTCGTTCCAAGCAAGCGCCCAGTTGGATTTCTCTGACGGCGAGCTTCCGGCGCCGATCGGGAAACAACCGGCCTCGGTCTGATGCCACGATGTTTCATCGGCATCCCAGAAGGACTGGCCATGGCTTTCCACCCGCAGCTCCGCGACGTGAAAGGTTCGGGCGCTACGCGACACCGATTACCTCTTCCGAAGGCGACTACCACTGGTCTCCACGATTTCCTGGCTCTACGAAACACGGCAGGCCCCTCGGGATCTGTTCTTCAGATTTCTCTACTGGCACACCGATGTTTCTTCAGCCCGGGAATGACTGGCAGGCTGCCTCTTACAACGTCGCAGATCGCAGGTGAGTATTTGTGCATCTTCTACAACAGATAGCCTTCCTTGCAGTGGAAAAACTTGCCCAGGCAGACGTCAAGTGTTGCTAGATATATCTTATGGCTTGAGAAGGTAGTCCGTTAGCGACAATGTGTACAAAAAATATTTCTGAGGCAAGCATCAATTGGCAATCATGAAGAGCGTGCGTATAAAATGCTTTAAAACCATCGCTACTCTGCGTGGATCAAATCGTGGTGTCGTTTTTATTTAGTTTTTTTTACCGCAGTGCATAATATATTTGAAGAAGCAGATAACCAATAGGCTTTGCAGATTGTTCTTGAAGTGGCTTCTTGTTTTTCGCGCGTCGTCTTTCTTTATGAAATATTATACATCATGATTCAATTTTTGTTTCTCTCTCGTATGAAGTGTTGTGATAAGAAATGACGCTCACAGCAGCATAGTCGCAGTTGTAGGACGAGGAAGTCCGACTAAATTGCAAATACATAAATCGCGCAATGTTGACCATAATTGCTGCTCATTGACAATTATTGCGCTAAATAAAAATGACAGAGCATAAAATTTATCAATGTGTTGTACTGGATGGGATAGTTAGCGTAAGAGAAGCTATTTTGAGTTAAAAAAAAAAAGAGGCGCCCTGTAATGTGGAGCATACCACGACGTCAAAGTCCCTCTAGCCTAACGTGAGTTCATCAAGCGAATACAAGGGACAGCGCTAACAGAGAACGCCGTATCTGAAGCTTCGTACGTGATAAATCACTCACGCATGCGTCTCAAGCATCTGCTGTGAATAGAGTGAAAAACGTCGGCTGCTACATGAACTGTGCTGTAACATGTAGGGAAACGAGATTAACGAAGTTCCATTTCAAGTGTTCCTCGTTTTATTCCGCACTTCTGTCGCACTTAGAGCTGATTTCTGGCACATCTGTAGCGCTTCTGCGTATGACTTTACGCATATAGCGCTATCCTGAATTTAGCTTGACGACAAAGCGGTCGCTGTCAATGTGCCATATAGGGCACTGTTCCAGACGAGCTATTACTGAACGTAAATGCTGCATTTTGATGAAGGCTGACACGAAGGCTCTAATTTCTTCCGCAATCAAATATTTATTTCAGTGGCAGGCAACAACCAAGAGGTAGCGCCTGCCATTCTTACCATGCACGAAGTCGAGGAATCAAGTCATCGCATCAGGCTACACGCCCCCAGTTCAAGACGATGGCGAAAAGTCTCGCAGCTGGTGCAGGGCGTTGTTCCAGTAGACGCGTACCCTACCAAGGCGCTAAAGCCTCTGCCCACCACCTGATTATCGCGGTATTGCTGTGCTGCGGTAGCCAACATGCCGTCGGTGGTGCTGTGTGCACCGGCTGCGCGTGTCGCCAACAACACTAAAGCCGTCGCCATCGCCGCATCTTCTCCCCCGAGCAGGCCGAGAGATTTCGACCCACTTTGCCACTTAGGATGAGTACTTGGGGTACAAGACTTCATGCCTGTCGGAGAGTACGAGAATGCGTTGGCGGTTGATATGGGCAATGTACGCTTTCATGAAGTCGCATCAAAAAAAAGCTTGCACAGATGATTCCCCGACCGCGGACACTTCAGCCTATGTCACTCGCTTTGACGAAGCCGCGGTTGTGGTGGCTAGAATCATGTGAAGGCTCTCCAGTGCTCTTTTTTTCTGAGTGACCACGCACTGCAACGTATGTTGAGTGTCCCGCTCATTCAACATATATTTTTTCATTTTTTTACTTATAGAATATATTTACAAATATGCCATATTTGTGCACTAGTCTGATTTTATATCTTGTTATTATCCGTCATTTTCGTTGTTTTAGGTATATTCACCCGCTTTGTTGATATAATGGTTACGTACTTAGGAGATATCTCCGTATACGTACACAAAATTGAAAATGATAAAAGACACAGACCCCACGCATTTTGGGGTTCTGTTTCATGCGAAGCAGTCAGGGAGTAGCGCCTTTTGATGCTGCATTTTTCGGATTTGACCAAGCGTTACGAGGTGGATTAACGTGTCTTTGTAAACGGAGTAATTGTGTGCACATCGCGACTTTTCAGTCACCTCGACTACACTGGTGTTTAGAGGTGACATTGTGTTCTGACTTAACATAAGCATCAGGTCAGAGCACAGATATTAGTTTTATCGAAACGATGAGTACACTTCGTTGTGATAACGTAATACGTATAGCATTCGTTAGCGTATTCAAGCGCTCCTGGAATCTATCAACATTTTCTTATAGTTTACCGAGCTATAGGAGGGCATATCCAATGTTTATTAGACTGCAACAAAAGCGGATTAGTGATGGTATTGCGATATGAATCCTATATCATCGGAGTGCATATGTAATGCTCATTGCTTAAACGGTAACGTGCGCCTGTTGAAATGAGTTTACTGTTTTTGTAGGTACTAATAAACAGCGCTAAAGCTGGGCGTCTGTAGCAGCTCTGCGGAAGTAGGCATTCAACCGTTTACAACAGTATATATCATGCATCGACGGGGCTGTTGCAGATACCCAACTAAAACCTACTTGACGAGTACACACCGTTATGCACGTTATTGTGTAAGCTATTGCATCGCTCATACACTGAGTGATGCGATCACTTAGCAAGGGTGATTTGTTGCTGTTCACACATTTTACTATTTTCTTTTTGTTTATTTTTTATTTTTTAATTGTATTTTTTTTTCTCATACTCGTTGAAGTCTTCGTCACTTTTTTTTCATTCGTCATCTTCTTTCCTCTTTCTCCCCTCTAATCTCTGTTTTCTCTGTTTCTTCGCTCCTCCCGAAAGAGTTAGCAGGCATTGTGCCCCTCCAGGTGGCAGTTCCCAGCTTGCTCTCTCCCTCTTTCCTCTGCGTCTTTGTTTATCTGTGTATGCAAATCAAATAAATAATTGTGTCTGCACAGCTTAAAGTGCCTGATATCGTTTGGAGATGTGGGTGAGGCTACGTCATAATATCACTTTCATCAATACTCAAATGTGCAGCGTGTAGGGTGGACACGTTTAAAAGAAGAACGGCTGTGCAGATACGCACTGTATGAAATGCCATTTGTTGGCTGAAAAATGGTAGTTTGAAGTGCAGATATGGTGCCATGCTGCTAGCATGTACGTGGTTGTCTTTTAAAATGCTTAGGACATGCCTCGCTGGCAACGAAAAAACTCTCAGGCTTTGGACGGAGCGCGTTTTTGCGGCCGCCGCCGTGCGCTGTTTTCCCTCGTTTCTCTTTGCCGTTTCCGTTCTTTGGTTACATCTTTGATGGCGTTCAGCCCTATAACAGAATTATTTCAATTTATTTTTCAATCAATTATTTTATTATTACCAGACAAACTGGAATGCCACCAAGGCTAAAAGCCGTGAGAACAATTCAAAAAGGTCTGGGACCAGTAAATACACATTGCAGCAGTGCGGAAATGATTACAAGTGAATAACATGCAAGTAGTGTATAAAACAAGAATAATAAATACTAAGTGAAAATGTTTTTCGAACTGATTATTTTACAACACCTATTATAAAGGTGTGAAAACATTGTTTACAAAAATCAATATTGACTGTGCATAGATGATCGAATGCACGGTCTCTTATAAACATAAAAAGCACATAAATATATCTTTAACTGAACACATCTACATTCATATCGTTAATACAACGCAAGATGAGAAGTAACATGATACAATTTACTTACTTTGGACTAAGCTATCAGAAATATTACATAGGCTGTGAGGATAGCTTTTTGAGCAAGTTTCAGTGAAGCCAGAGCACAAATATGAGTGCAGTTGTGTCTTGTTAAGGAGGGTTGTACTTTCTTCCACGTCTAGAGTCGGGGTAACGTTGTGGGCCACGGCTTGGTAGTTATACATAGTTCGAAAACGCAGTGCAAACCGAATATCTTTATTTCTTCCGAGAATAGCGAGGACGCGACGCTCTAGGCATGTTCTGATCTAAAGAACTTGGAGAGCTCCCTATTCGAGAAATAAAGTGTGTGTGCAAATTTTCGGAGCACGTATTATAATAAATTCTTGGAAAGGTCCACGCGTCGTTCCGAGCGGTTCAATATTTTCAATATAGTGGACTTTCTTTTGCAGAGTAATGACTTTATGTTTTCTT